GGATATTTTAACCAAAAAAAAACATGTTTCTGTCAATCAAGCCACCAGATTGGTAAATGCTAATATATATGTCATTTTGTGGAAGGTGGGGACTATGGTGAATAATGTATTTTATTGCGTGATTAGTTAAAAGTCCCTGTTCAGCCTAATATTAGCAATAATATATATATATATATATATATATATATAATCATTATGAAAGATTACCACCTATGAAAGTCAAACACGGCTACTTAGGGCTTCTTAGCCTTAATCTCAGACTAGTATCTGTGATAAAAGACGTTATCTGAAGAACCACAATCATCGATTATAAGATAATGTGAAAGGGGAGGTCTGCAAATTATAATTTACATTTTAGAAGCAGTATCAAAGAGGACTTAAAGCTAATCTCAAGCAGATGGATACAGTTTGATAACAGAAACATCTTTATTTATTATCAGGATATCCATTAGCTAATGCCAAGGGAGCAGCTAGTCTTTATGAGAAAAGCAACAATGACCCATCAGGAGGCATTGATTTTCAGAAAAAAGGTAAAAAGTCAGCTCAAGAAACGTCCATTAACACAAGCCCTCATGTCATGCCTATAAGAATAGCCTAGTTCAGGATGATTAAATGGGTCTACCATTCACACATTTAAAAAATAACCATTAGCAGCCAACAGATAGGTGTACCAGTCACACTCCTTTCACAGCTCATTATTGCTATTATGCAGCCTCTATGCGTTGATGAATAACATGCGTATGCTTGTGCCTTACTCACGACTAATAACGATAATGTAGGATGGTGACAGTGCATTGCCGTTTCACTCTCTCTGTGTCTGATTTAAAGGATAAAAGCCCATCTGCGGAGCACAACCAGATTGTTGCTGGTTTCTGAACTGTTTGCAGAGGCTTGAATCTTCAATGAGGATAAATAAAACTTTCGACCCTCTAAGAACAGTGTGCAATTCAACAGCAGTCAGCATGGCTTTTTCTTTCTCTCCCTGTTTGCGTCACTTACAAAGTGTCAACACAGGTCAAGGACAGAAGAAAAAAAGGTGAGGACATGGAAACAAGTGGAAGAGAAAAGATAGGGATATTGAAATGAAAATGTAAAAGACACAGAATATCTCAGTCGGGCTTCATATCCATCCTATTAGTTGATATGTCACACAGTGAAAACTCCGCCATACGAGCTGCCTATTCCAATGCACTGCCTAGCAAGGCTGCACAGAGCAGACAGAAGGGAGAAAGTAGAGAAAAGGGAAGGGCAGCCATCTGATAAACTGCGGATAGGACGAGAGCAAAGAGCAATAACGGAGAAACTCAGCATTACCGAGAGGATGAAAGAAAGGAGCAGGTTATTATTAAGAAGAGATTGAGATGGATAAAGAGGCAGATACGGTCAATCAAACGACAAGACGGAAGAAGAAGAAAGAGACAGAGCTGATAAAACGTCAGGAAATCATTCACATTTGATTGATAACAGTTCCTGGTGTTTGTGAAATCTGCAATAACCTTTTCACCAGATATCAACCTTAGGTTCCAGAGCTTGAAGACTACTGAGAAAAACCTCTCATCTGCGCCATCTGTCACTAAATCAAGTTTGGCCGACTGGGAAGGATGGGACGAGGTAAGGAGAGGCTGCATGAGCCTTTTAGTTATTGAAACTGACAGTTTTTAGGCAGCAAAATGAGCTTCTGGAAGAGCAGAGTCATAGTCAGGTGCTGAGCTCATAAAGTAGCTTCATATGCATATGGACAATGTTGAGGCAGAACCTCCACCACGCAAATATGAGCAAAACTCAATTTCCTGCCAAAATGACACATAAAAAGGGTGATTCAACTAGCAGTGTGACTCTTCAAAACAAAGACACAGAAGCTACGCAATCTGTAAAGCTCAGTTATCTTGGTTTTATGTGAAAATGATGTGATATCTTTGTAATATGTTTTCTGAAATGACTGATTATTACAACCATTTAAGCAACTCTTACACAGAAAAACATTTTCAAACTAGACAAACCAAATGTAATGGAGAAAACAGTACACAATCCAAATGTAACAAATGGAAATAAAATAAATCCATTCAGTAACAGCACTGATATTGGCCAGATGTCACCTTCCAGAATAAGAGAGTTTAATCAGTTTAATTGAATCACTTTCCTAATAAAAGTCAATACTTCCACTATCACATTCAGTAAGTCACACTGCCCTTTAAACACATTGGTCACAAGCCTAGCACAAGTGTGATGTACGTGGCAAGAAAACAAAGAACTAAGGTAGGTGTTAGAGCTAAACTTGAGGGCAAGAGACTAACCACCATGACTACAATGTCCAGACCACACCTACCATCCAACATCCAGGAAGAAGAGAAACGGAGGGCTAAGAAGTTATCTCTCAGCTCATGCCATCTAAACGCAGTTAAAGACTGGGAAATGACAGACCTTGACCTCTGCTGCCACTCCTGCTGGTGTGTCTTCATCATTAGGCAGATGGTACTTGAGGCAGGAATATAAAAGTGTGTCCAGTTGAGTTGGTATGCAGGGGTTTTGTAACCTGTTCAACTGCACAGCTCCTGAGGGAAGTAGGAGTCAGAGACCAGGCCCAAAGAGGGGCCTTCAAAGAATTCACCAATGAGACCGAAAAGAGCAATCACTGTCTGCAGCTGAATCGAAGAGATGAGGTTTGGGCTGCCAGTTGACCGGAGACTAACCATAAGACAAACATGCAGGTACTATCACCTGTGACCATTCTCGGATGGGGGTGTCTTGTGATAAAAGGCCAAATGTAGGTGTACACAGCTGAAGACGTGTATGAATGGTAGCAAACATCATCTTGTGTTTATCCCCCAAAAACAACCACAATTGATTCTAATGCAGAAGCAATTGTAGTGCATTATCAGTTGTTTTCACACTCTCAGAAGTGGCAAATTGCGTCCAACACTATTAGACAGATGTAGACTGAGTTTAAATAACCCAACACTGGTTTACATGATCTCCAGTCTCCTGAGTGAAAGTGCCTTGTTTTTTGACAACAAATGTCTCTTCCATCTCAACAAGGTATTGTTTCTTGGAGGGGATTCCAACTCCTAATTCTTATTTAAAGCTATAATAACTATTGATCAATTAAGCACAAGGCTGCAACAACACAAATGTATTCTTAATGAATATATATTATGCATGTTCATTTCTTCATTGATTTAATGAAAATATTTCCAGAAAAGCCACACGTCTTCCAGTTAGAAAATCTGAAACAAAGTCCAGTGACAATCCAGCAAGGGTAGGTGGAAGCGAAGGGTTAAAGATGAAGTCTCAGTGAAGAACATAACTGTAAATCTGCAATGAGCAAATAAATAAACTTAGACTAGTCCATTAATATATATTGAAATAATGATTAATTGCAGCCCTACACAGCCATTTAAATACAATCCCATGAATCTGACACTGTGCTGTTGTAATGTGCTGTCCTGACATTGCCTGACACATCTGCATGAGAGTCAAGTAGCTGCAAATGGGAAACAATATCAACCTAGTGCTGATGGGAAATAACAGTCTGTGACATGCAATTCACTTCAATTTTATTTGGTCTGTATTTGATGAAATTGGTCTGGCTGGGCCTGCTCCCGCTGCCAATTCTCAGACATGAATGATATGATCAAAAATAATAAAATAAAATAGAATCAGCAACCGGTATTACATTTCAGTTGATCCTGATTTCTCAGTGAAGCTGTTGAGTAAGGAGCGCGCACACACACACACACACACACACACACACACACACACACACACACACACACACAACACACACACAACACACACAACACACACACACACACACACACACACACACACACACAACACACACACACACACACCACACACACACACACACACACACACAACACCACACACACACACACACACACACACCACACACACACACACACACACACACACACCACACACACACACACACACACACACACACACACACACACACACACACACACACACACACACACACACACACACACACACACACACACACACACACACACAGTTGTTGTCTCCCTTGAGGCCAATTCATTAGATCTTCACTGAAAACTGAGAAGTCGTAAATTGTTTGCCCGACTGACTCCCCAGGTTAACTGCCAATTACATAGATCTGACAATGGTCACTTTAACACACACGCATACACATTTTCACGAGGATGAATATGTTGGAGATGATGAGGGTAGAATTGCGGAGATTAGATATATATGGTAAAAGTATATTTCACAATGAAACCCCCATCTCTTTTATGTCAGAAAGGACAACACATTGTGCTCGGTGTGGGTTAAAGGTTTTTGATGAGAGCGCCTGTGACGCGCAGAGGGCTGACATTTAGTTGAAATGGGCGAGCTGGGACCAATTTCCTTTTTCAAATCACACACCCATGGCTGGACAGATCGATCAAACCGCACACGTAGAACAATTATTAATGCACTATAATATATTTCCTCACAGGGCACACGATTAACAATTAAAATGCTTCTGAATAGCTAATTGATTCTAAATTACACACAATGCTGAAATTGAACATTGCATATTGAATGAAAGACCACATCGTGATTAAACACTATGAATTAAAGAAATGTCTATGCTTTAATCTCCCTTTTGAGTCCCAGAGATTAAATAGCATACAAATTGCTTAAAGAATGTAGGCAGGCAGATCACAGCGATTTTTTTGTTTCGAGATTGAGGAGGAAATTACTTTTAATTGGATTAAAAACCACACATCATTCATCCGTTTTACCCATACAGTAATGACTAGCAGTAATACGCGTCTGTTGCCTGTTATAAAACCCTACATTTCAGCCTCCATCAGACCCCTGAGCGTCACAACTGTTGCTCAGTGAGCGCACACAGCTCTGTGCCGTCAGAAGATGCTTTTACATCATCTAAAAGCGTCTTTATAAACCATCTAGCCTACTCCACGAACAGGTGGATAGTGGTCATTTAAAAGAATCAAACAGTAACTTACATGTTTAAGTTCTTGCATGCGGTCCTTCATGTTTGCGGTAAATCACACTTATTCCTTCAGTTCCCGGTGTTTTGTGGTTCGCGTGCGGTGATGGAGCAGCGGGGCGGAGACCGGCAGGATGATGCGAGTCAGACCGAGGAGAGGTGCGCGTCTGGCGGCGGTGTTTCGCCCCTTCGGTGTGGATGGTGGGACCACTTTACGGAGCCGGGTGACGCGCACTAAAGGTGAGGAGAGGCCTGCCGACGTTAACCCATTACACACCCTCAACTTCCTCCTCAAACCGCACTAATTGTTCTGTCTTTTGAAATAATTCCCCGCTTTAAGTTGATTTGTTACCGTTAAAGTCAATCCAACATATTGAAAGCACGACTGACAGTAAGTGACCGCCTCCTCAGAGAGTCTGGTGGATCTGTGTTGGGTTTGATTATCTATTGAGCAGGTTCAGAGATAACGCCCAGGTGGATGGCTTCCCTCGTGCCAAAGCTCACAGCGACCTCTGTTGGCCTTATGTGAAGCACACTTATGGAAACAGCGAAAGGCATCAACATTAAAATATTTGTTTACATAAAAGCCTACTTACCGACTTTGAAATGTTTCTTAGAATTGCTTTTACTACTGTGTAATAAAGTATAGTTATCATTTCTAAGATATCATCATATATCTAGCTAGGATTTTTAAGTGTATCCATAACTATAGTATCTTTTGTTTTCTTCCTTCATACCCAACATAAGTACCTTATCAATTGTCAAAATGTTTCCATTATTTGATACAATAAAGTTTATATAAACCATAACAAAAACGTAAGTAATAGTAGTTGCACCAGCAATGTGTTTACTTTGTTTGGTTCCATTTCCCCATTATGAGCAAAAAAAATGTTGGGCATCCAGATGTTCTCCTTTTTGTAACCTCCCTCATAATATAATGAGCTGTCAGTTTGTTATAGGACAACTTTCAAGTGTATTGTCATTTTCTACATCTCATATCTCCATAAAAGAGTGTTTTTTGTGACACAGGATTACAAAAAGGAGGGATTTAACTAACAACCTCAATGCTTGTTAGTTAAATTGATTCTATATTCGGGAGAATAAAAGCGAGTATAATACAAATATCTTTTATAGGTTTTTAATAAACAGATATCGAAAATGTGACATTTGATAATTTATGATAATTGTTTTAATTCTTTGAGATTATTGTTGCCGTCAAAGCTAAATCTTTCTCCTCTGCAAGATTTTACAGATTTCTGTACATGTCCAGCCAACCAGAACATGGAGAGTGCAATCTTGACAAACATTTGTGAGAAAAATTGCTATACACTCAACCAAATGTAAAATGGATCAGCCATAATAGCATTTTACTTCTTATCTTATCCACCTGTTTTAAAGAGTGGGTACAATTACGTCCAAACACTTTGCAGTTTGAATGGTGATTGTGTTCAGGGTGGTACAGACGAGAGCTAATGAAGGCACAGCTGCATGAGTCAGAGCTAGAAATGAGGTTTTCTCTGACGTGCAGTGTACTTTGTGTCGGCTCGAACCTCCCTGAAAATCAAACACAAAGCAGAGAGAGAAGGCGTCAGCAATGTTACAGATTACAGCCAATCAGGGATTCAGTTAAGTTTAACCTAATGATATAACATTATTTAGAGCCTGAATATTTCAGCACAAGATACAATTATTTGTCCTGAAAGAGTTTAAACCACAGTCTTGTACATACCGTCCCTGCCTTCTCCTCCTCTCCTTTTTCTCCAAAATCCAATCGCGTCCCTTCTTCGCTGATTTCCCCTTCATGCCTTTAAACCGACATCTTCACAAAGACAAAGTGTGGATGATTAGCTTATTTAAATTGCACCGTGGTCTTTGTGGTAAACCACGTCCAAAACTCCTCAGATCTTATGCTAAATGTTTTTCCATCAATTCTCTTGGTTTAAATCAATAGGAGCAACTTCAACATCACCATGTAAAAGGGAGGAAAAGCTGCCTGACAGGTTTTAAGTGAGGCAGGACGACAACCCTTTGGAGATTTCTCTCGGTCTTTAGGCCTCTTTAAAGCAGGTATGACTCAACCTGCATTTATCAGGGCCAAGACCTTTTTTTACAAGGCTGTTTTAACACAAATCAATAAAGAAAGTGGTGCCTATCCTTGTCCGAGAAATGTAGTGCTGCCACTAAAACATTTTGTATTCATTGGTTACATTTCAAATGTTGATCACAATTTCTAAGAGCCCGATTATAAATGACTTGCTCCGTCCAGCAAATATTCTCATTCCAAAAAATGGGTCGGGATTATCAAAAAACTCTCATAAAAGATAAAAAAAAATCAGCAAATAAAGTAATCAGTTTGCAAACAATTCATTAAAATGTATAGGTGTGAAATTCACTAAATGTTATGGTATTAACAAAGGCCTTAGATTACAGCAGTAAGTAACACACTAGTTTCACAATATTCATTTGATGCTCAGGGTACATCTCATCACTCTGCATCTTTTTGAATAAATTACATTTACTACAAAATAAATCTTGTTAAACACTGTTTACTCAAACAAACTCGGCTCCTTTCAACCAAGATAACAGTTTACTCAAACTCTTACAATAATCAGTATTTGTCTAAATATCTTTACCTTTGTCCTGAATACTGGACCTGGTTTGATACAGCTCTGTCTGACGTTTCTGTTCCCAATCCCTGAAAAGACCAAAAAAAGATAACAATTATAATGATGTAGCTATAATGAAACACAGATCCCCCGAAACCCACTAAATATTTTGTTTCTTACTTTGGGAAGAGAACCGGTAACTCCAGCAAACAGACACAAGAAGAACCTGGAAACAAAATAAACGTGTGTGTAAGTGAAGGAGTAAATCAGGCCAACCGTATTAATGTGTGATCATTTATTAAGAGGCTAATGTGACAAACAGTTCATTCAATATGTTCTAATTAGCCTTTTGTTGCAATTACACTGCTGCTAATTTCACAGGACATTAAGAGGGAATCACTTGAAGAGGGCTGCAGCTAAATATATCAAAATAAAAGCCTAGCTTCTGAAAGGTACTGACTTTTTGGCTTTGCTGCTGTTGGGGTAGTCCACCACCATACCTCCACCAAAACCTGCCCTCATGGCCTGCGTCGTGATCAGCTCAAGCTTTAGAGAGGGAAGAAGACTGATGGTAAGAAAATGAACCCGGAAAAAACACCATATTTCACATCAACTATGCACTACATTATTTCACCTGTTCTGAGTTCTCTGGATAAAGCTGGAAAATGGCACGTGAGCCTCTTGACTGAAAGACAAAGAACAATATTAGGAACTGTCTCCATTTTGAAATATGGTATCTGGAAGTTTGTATACAAACCTTACCAGAGAAGAGTAGAGAGTACTAAAGAAGGTGTAGAGTCTCTTCGGAGGACTATGTGACCTCTTGTCGGCATTACAGAGCCACTGCAGAGCAGAGATACTGACGTGGAATAATTCAAAGGTTAAATGAAAAACAGAGTCAGAAATTATTAAAAATGAAATAGGATAGCTTCTTTTCAAAAGTCATGCTTTGTTATTCACCTGATGCAACCGTCAAATGTCCCAGCTCTGAACGGCATCCCGTGGCCCATGTCCCCCACTAAAAGGTCTCCCTCTACTTCTCTGTCCAGTGCAACATCTGTTACAGGAAAGACAGGGTTTGATCAAGGTTTTAGAAATGTTTCTCCTTAAATTTCACTAATGGCGCGTTTCCACTGCAACGGGGTAGCCCCGTTTAAGCGTCCCTAAGCGTCCTCGCTCAGGCCTCGGGCTGCCTCGCTGGCCGTCCGAGGCCGTGGCGCATTTCCATTACAGTTTAGGACCTGGGGTAGCAACGCAGTGTAGGCGGGGCGATCGGCTTTGTTTTTGTTCACATTTCGAGTTGTTCCGTCGAGCTCCCGCTGGATTTGATCATCCCCAATGAGATGAAGGAATGTCGTCACCTCCTCGGTCGACCACGGTGTGCTTTTCTTATTAGACGTAGCCATTTTTGTAGCTCATCCGTTTACAAAATGCTGTTTATAAAAATGCTGCAAGCTTGCTTCTAAATATATATGCGACGCTAGGGATGAACTTGCGCGCGATCTTGTGACGATTCTCTCTGACCAATCAGCAGTCGAGAGTGTTGACGTCACTAGTTCAGCCCTGGCCCTGGTCTGATAGAACCACGATTTTATGGGGCCGGAAAAAGAGGGAAAAAGTACCCGCTAGCCGGTACTAGGCTATATGGAAAGGCCACCAAAAACTGGCCTGGCCGCTTGAGGACGGTTAAGGACGCTTAAACGGGGCTACCCGCTGCAGTGGAAACGCGCCATTAGAGGCTTAAAACTGAAACCTCTGATTGAGTAACATGCACAACACTGAACTTAAAAGAAGACACACTTATTGTTTTAGGTCTATTGAAAGATGAGATGAAGTTTTATTTAATATCAATATTAAACCGGTTCATCGTCCAGCCCATGCTTTCGTTGCTTCATGTTGAATGTGATAGTTTAAACTTACCAAGCATTGCAGTGCTGATGTCGATTCCGACCCAGTAGTGTCCCTCCTCCGACAGGAAGTCTCCACTGAGACCAGAGCCGCACCTGAGACAAAAGACAGAGAGACAAGTCTTTAAAATCCCAATCTCACATAATAAGTGTATTCTGGACCTTACAAAACAAACAAAAGGTGAGGTGATTCTCAAACACTGCGAGACTATTGCAGTACTGTTAACTAGCCAAACAAACAAACAAAGTCAGTGTCACTCACCCCACATCTAACAGGAAGCATGGCTGTCCTTCGGGAAGGTTCAAAAGCTCCACAGCTCTCTCGGACATCTGGGTTTGGATCTCAATCATTCGAGAGCTGTGGCGCAACAAAACACACAGAGTTTTGAGTGACGGTTAATATGTGACTTCTGGCCCTTTTTAAACTATGAAGGTGAACATTAAATGTGTCTAAGTGCCATCATAATTGATATTGGGTTCAATAGATTTTAAGCCAGGTCTCAACACGCAACTAAAACAACTTTTACTCAGGTCTGATGAATCAGACAGGGAATGTTTTTTTGTTTATTGTTCTTTTGGAAGGGAATATCCATCCTTAAAATAGTTGTAGATATTTGTATACATACACCTTTAAATAGTTAAGTGAATGTATACACTAAAAACATAGACAATCGACTCCCTAACTTTCTAATTGTGTGATGTTGTGATAAAATGAAATAACATTTCAATCCAAACTAGCTTTAGGTTAGTGTGGGGCTTTTAGCAGTGTCCCTATCCCAGTAAAACGTTCATGGTTTGAGATTTAACCACCCTGCTCCATTATTATTTTTCTTTCTGTGAAGCATCTCTTGAATGTATCTGCTGCCCAAACTATTATTTGTCTTTTTGAATGATTTCTATTTACAAAATACACCTGAGCTGCTCATATTATAGAAAAAAACATATTACTAATAGAATAGGATGGGGTCCTGGAGTGGAGTGCACCAGCTGGGCGTAAAAAAGTAGGGCTTAACTCTAACGTCGGGCTTAGCTACGTCCGACGTAGTGATTCAAATTTACACCGAGTGCACCAAGCCTGACTAGTCTCGGGCGTAGCTGCGCCTGGTCTTAAGATGCGCGTCCACGTGAATACACGCGAAACAGTAATTGTTGCCAAGCAACGCCATTTTACCATTTTACAGACTCAGAGGACCGCAGAGAAGAGGGAATTCCCACACCAACAGCGTCAGCGATGACTCAAGGGGAATCCCAAATGGCCACACCCCGAAAGAGAAAGAGGGATTTGTCAGAGCTACAGCGGGAACTGACGGAGAAAGAAATCGGTGCTGGAGGGCCAATGAAACTTGTCTTATAGCCCGACATGCAGTTGTGCGATGAACATTAATCATGTCTCCCACAGTATTTTGAAAGGCCCCGTTCACGTAGAATCTGAGCGCAATCAGCACCTGCAAGGTTGGGGCGAGCGCAGCGTTTCGATCTGATCCGTGCTGGAGTTGAGGGGAGATCTCCTCGATTAAATCAAAAAGGGCTTGTCTGCCGAAACGAAACCTCTCTATCAGTTCACTGTCTGAATAGATGTCCAGTGGGTTTGTTCGATCACGGACGACTCTTTCTCTTCTTAATGCCCTTTCATTGTTAAACATGTAAACAAGACGCCCTGCCATCGTTAATATCCTACTTGCCTGTTTTACGTTACTATGGATACTAGTCTGTCTTTCCGATTTACACCTGCTCCATACTAGGCGTAAAAGTTACACCCGGGCGCAACGCATACAGGGCTTAAGTCTAAGTGGTGCACTAGTCATAACTTTAGTTTGGTCTTAACCTTCGGTTCTACGTCGGACGTAGAGTTACGCCCAGTTTACGCCCAGCTGGTGCACTCCACTCCTGGGAACATAGGGACCACAGGTAAAGGAAGTTATGCACACATTTCATCAGACTCACTTCTGAGAGTATTTCTTTGCCTCAACTTCATTGTAGAACTGTGGGGATAAGAGCACATTATTAACATTTCAATTAAATACAACTGTTCAAAACAACGGTCAGCAGACATCTAAATGTGTGTCTTGTGTATCTTCATTACATTATATGTCATTTTTATATTATTTAGACTTATAAGACACTTTCGCTAACAAAATGAGACCTAAGTAGTAACATAAAACTACAAATAACCAGCCAGTCACTGCAACAACACATTTCTAGATTGTGAACAGACATTTAACACTCAAACAATGAATTCAGTGTAATAAAGACAATTCAAAAAATGAGTTTCATTCTTGACTCTTCCTGACTCACTAAATGCACACAACCTGTTGTCCTCCTAGATGTTTATTAACCTGCAGCAAAGACCAGAGGAAGTTTCCCGTTCTCATCTATTCAGCCTGTGACTTGATCATTAAGCTATAACGTTAGAGTTAGTGAGAACATCGTGCCTTTTTTATGTAGGCCTAAGCATGTTCGTAACTTTTGGTTTTACCAAAATACCTTTGAACTATTTTCTCTATATCTAGCAATTACAAACGACTTCAATTCACAAGACAGGACACAAAACGTTGATCAAAAACTACTAAACTAGAGTTAATTACACCATTACAACAATAACTTAACTACTCAATAGTTAGCCAAACATCACGTCAGTGCCCTATTAAAACGCTCATAGTGTTATATTATTATTATACCAAGGGTTCCCTTTAAAGAACCAAACTGCTGCTGTTAGCTTAGCATCTGAAAACTACTATAATCCGGGTTACTGACCAGCTCGGGAGGGGCTGTGTGTTCAGGACGCCGGCAGTTCGAGGTCATGGCTATCCTTGTGTCTGTGTTTGTATTTAAAGATGAAGAGTTAACTTGTAATATCTGTTCATCAACAAGCTAAGTGTTGTGATAGCCTACGGTCCACACGTGAAGAACAATGACGTCACATTCAAGCGACGTAAAAAGTACTTCTTCGTTAAATATATTAAAAGCAGCTTAAAATCAGACGCCATCTACTGGTCAAACAGGTAGGTACATTTTTGAACAAGTCAAATATCTACTGTATATATTTTTGCCAGTGTATCGTTTACAGTGGTGGATGAAGTATTTTATTTAAAATAAAATACAAAAATGTAAAAATACTACAAGTAAAAGTCTTTCAAACAAAATGTTACCTAAGGAAAAGTATAGGTTCAAGGTTCAAGGTTCAAGGTTTTTTTATGTTGTCATACGAACATAGCTACAGTGTAGTTATGGCGATGAAAATCTTAGGTCATCTGATCTAACCAATCAAGTATGTCTAAAGCATTAGCGTATAAATAACTCATTGTGCAGAATTGCCCCTTTCAGTAATATTTTTATTTAGTTTATACAATCATTATTATTATTAGTGCAATACCAGAGCTGTTATGGAAGGTTATAACCATAGACTTTATATATAAAGGTTGGTTATAACATATGAGTAGGCTAAAAGTTATAGAATCGTTTTTTGCGAAATGATTGGCCGACTATGAAAGTACTTCCTGTAAACATTGACTCTGATTGGTTCCTCGTCGTTTGACGTTCCGGATGTTGCATGTTTTTTTCCGGCCGGCTCACTGTTCCGTTCTCGGTAAAATGGCAGAGGTCGGTCATAGGCTGGGGACCGGGGCTTACCGGCTGTCCGCCCTCAGAAACAGCCAGAGTTGGTCGGTGTGCACCGGAGAGAGTCCCGGTCCTCTGCTGGTCAACTCCCTCAGTGACAGCCGGTGTAAAGAGCAGTCAACCCGGGACCAACATCGTGAAGTTCAGCCAGTGTCAAGAAGCAAAGCAACACGACACAAACCAGAGAAACTTTCCGGAGTGACAACAAGTGAAAGTCCACAGGAAAATGGGACTTTGCGCTGTGTCAGGTATTTGGAGCTGGATTCATCCCGGTGTATCAGAGAGAGACTTAACACTCACACAACATCCCTGTACCTCTCAGCGAGGCAGCAGGAGAGGAGCAGAGGAGCTGTTTTCATCCACCCTGACACCTTCAGGTCAGGGCAGGGGTCAGACAGGTGGAGGCGTCTGAAAGCCCATCCTAATACCATGCAGGTATCTACCAGAAGCTACTGCTGGAGGAGTGACCGCAGCTCAGAGGAGGCTCCGACTATGTACAGAGCAAGGACGACTTATTACGACATCCTCAGAGTGTCCCCTGGTGCCACACAGTCCCAGATCAAGACAGCCTACTACAAGCAGTCTTTTCTTTTCCACCCTGACAAGAACCCAGGGAACGATGAGGCCACACAGCGCTTCTCTGATATAAGCAAGGCCTACACAGTGCTGGGAAACATTGGCCTCAGGAGGAAGTATGACCGTGGGATTCTCAGCAGGTCAGATGTTGACAGTGCAGGGAGACCTTCCTCTAAAGAGACCATGAGCAAATCCACAGCCCCCCCACATCAGCAACACTACAGAACCAGGCAGTTCTCCCAAACTGGGAAGAAGGCCATGTTTGATTTCGATGCTTTTTATCAGGCTCACTATGGGGAGCAGCTGCAGAGGGAGAAGGACATGAGAGCCAGGAGGCAGCGCCTGCAGGAGCAGGAGAAGGAGAACCTCAACAAGTGGAAGGAGGGAAGACAGTTGGACTTGACTATGATAGTGCTGATGACCATGGCAGGCGTTCTCTTTGTGAACCTCAGCATATCCTGAAATAGATGCAGCACCTTGCCGGGTGCCTCTCTGGGGTTGCATGTTACAACTCTCAGGGAGGAGAAACAGGGGGAGAGAGAGAGTGCTACCTCAGAGTGTTTTGCAAGTGTTGCACGGTTTTTTGACAGTTGAAGATGATTTTATTTAGTGTGTTTTTAAGGAGCAAACAAAGGCTGGTTAGAGGCCAAAGATTGGTCATTAGCTGATTGTTTCAAAACAGCAACTGAGCATATTACTTTTCCTCATTCATTCACTTTAAGACTGTAAAGACCAGCAGAAACAAAAACTGCAAACACTTACCTAAAAAGTGAGTGCTGAATGATCATAAATCAGAAACGTGAAGAGAGAGATGTATGTACAGGTAATATTATATTTCACTCTTAATGGCTTTCTCCGTTGATTTATTTGAACCTAGGTTTCAGAGTCATCATTACAATCTTGTCAAATGGTCACTCTCCGTATCCCAAGAAGCTGATGTAGACTGTTATGGAGGTTTAGTTTTTGTGCCATCAACATCTGTACCACCAGGTGTGAAGTTTCTGTGTCGGCAGTGCACTTATTTATTTCATTTCCATAGGGACAAGACTGAAGCCAAACCACCCTTATTGGCAGCTCTCATTTAAGTCCTTTCACCCACATGCTGCACAAGGATGTGAACATTGAATGTCTGAGGCTGGAACGCGCACAATGCCTTTGCCTTTCCTTACACACTGCATCTGTAATTCAGGAAATCACTTTGAAGTGTGCAAATGTAAGATTATTAGAAAAAGAATACATATGTATACACCTTCCAGGTTTTTGAGAGTGTATCGATCTACTGTATATTATGTTGTTAAATTGTTTATTTTGAATAGGGGTAACTGTATAAACCAACTCTCTTACAACAGTTTGATTCATATGTTTTAAATAGTTTTATTTATCAATGAAGATCATAGTTGGTAATTACCCAGAATGCATTGCGTGTGTTTTTTCTGCAATTCTATAAGATCTGACCTCTAGAGGGCGCCTGAGCACATCCAAATCATCATAGGCTTCAGTTGGAGGCCTCTGGCCGTTTCTCAATCGCGAGGATGCTTGCTTGGTAGCACATGTCTTCCGAGTCACTTGCTTCAGAAGCTAGGCAAGAATCCTTCCTGGCATTCGGAAAACGAAGAGTGGAACAGGCTAGAAAGTGTGCAGGTGGGCGTCATATGAGAGGCCCCGCCTTACATTTTCCGCCACAGATTTGGGGAAATTGGTCCGTGCGCAAAGCATTGTGGGGGTTTTAAGGACGCGAAGTCTAGCCATGTGCAGTCTCGAAATTAACCCCAAACCAAGGACGCGGCCTCGGTGGAATTCCAAGTATGCTGTTGTTGATGATAATACATCAGTTTATTTCCTTGAAGATGCTTCCCAGTAGAAACTTCCAACATGGTTAATTTCTGGGATTAAAGGAATACTTCACCAACAGAAGGAATATTTGTCAATTACTCACGGTGTGTTACCTTGAATTCTAGGATAATTATTTGTTTCCATATGCCTATAGTGAACGAATAATTAAAAAAAGACTTGTCTGGAATGAAAGTATATGGGGCTGAACTTTCACAACAGTAAAACTATATCCAAACATTTTCACTCCCATAACCTATGTAATAGAAAGTAGTTAATTGAATGTCTCATTTATCCAGTTGTATTCTCAGTATTTCCCTTACTATTTAAGACAATTCTGCATCGACAGTCTTAAGTTTGTGCAGGCATGCCTCTTTTAAATAGAAGATTCAAGCAAAAATACACATGTTTTGTTAAATGTATTTTGAAGGAACTGTGAATGAAATTGAGACTTGGATTAGACTTTACAAGTTGTGTGAGAGTTTGTAGCCTGATGTGTTGATGCAGTTTTGCCGTTGTTAAATGGCTCAAAACTTAAATTCATTACTTGCATGAAAGATACATGTTTTCTTCAAGAATTCAAGGTTACATGGGTTGAGTCATTAAGAATCAAATGGACATTTTGTTGGTAAATAATTCTTTCAAGTTATCAGTGTTTAAACTGACTGTAGTGGTCAAACAAGTCAAACCCTTTGCACTATGATACTGCTGCACTAGATCTCATAATACAAATGTGTGGTAGCATTAGGGCCTGAATATGGAAGATAGGCTGACTCTGTGTCATTTAATAATATAAACTGAAACAAATGAAAACCATGCAACCTCACGTTTGACACCTCAGTTAATACAGAATGTAAAATGTGAAACAAATGATCTCTATAGAGAGCTCTACTTTATCAGATTATTTTTGTAACACCAAACTCTTCAACTTGTTTAAGCCGTATGTCATGCTGTTGGTGAGGTGTGTTGAATAACCGCAGGAAAAAGTGCAACATTTCTTCACATTTTATTCACAGAAATATAAAGTAGTATGTCAAGTACATCACTTTGTACAAAATTGCACAGACTCTTCAAAACTCAGTCAGACAACAGAAAATGTAGCTTAAGAAGTGTTAAGAAAATAAAAGGGAGGCATGAGCAATCTGTGAGATGGGCTCCACTGAGGATGTTTCATCAAGAAGAATCAATCAATTGTACATAAATAAGACTCGATAGGAAAAATGTAATTTACAACAGCTGAGGAATAAATATGTTTCAAAAATAGGATTCAAATTGGCACATGAACTGCTCCGTTCTCTCCTCGACTGAAATGTATACGTCACCATTGAAGCTAAATGGCCGTGCTTGAAAAGCCCAATGTTGACTCTTGATATGTTTATTCTTTCCGAACAAAAGTTTGCATATGTGTGAAGTACAGTATCTGAAATCTGGCTGCTCTCTATTCATTTTGTAAGGTGGGCCTCGCCAGTTTATAAAGAAAAAGGTTTGACATTGTGGGAAGTACATCCCTAGGTTGGATCAGAGGATTGATACCACTCCACTGAACATAAAAGTGGTAACCATTTTCTTATTTAACTCTTGGCAAAGCATTTCCAAAATGTCAAGTGACATAGTGAATGTCTGTGATGTACATTTTTACAGTAGCATGAGTATTCTGTTGTGTTTTTCTTACGAGTTAATTACTCAACAAGCCCATCACTCTGTCAGCATAAAGTAAAGCAACAACATCACATCTTCTCATTCAAACATGGCCATCTACTACCCCTAACTTACTGCCTGTCCACACCAGGCCGCACTGACAGTACCAAATACTGCTGCCTCTCTAAAAAGCGAATCCCGGTCCGTCCAATAAATGCTGGATTTGGTATAATAATAATAATAATATCTTCAAGGCATTACTTCAAGTGAACTCCTATATTAACAGCATATCTAATCTACAAGTTATTGATATGATAAGCTTGAATACAGAACAGGCACCAGATGGAGGGACCTCGAAAACCATGTTTTAGAAACACTACTGTAGCACACCGATCATTAAAAATATTTGAGCTCTAATACACCATCACACACTCTTATACAAATAACCCGGTATGACGGCAAAATGTAAGCCACCCGGCCGTATTCATACAAACTGAATATGTGTCCATGTACCATTTCAGTGTTTCTAAAGTGATATGTAACAACATATGACCACCTGTGTGTGTGTGTGTGTGTGTTGCAGCCATTAATGAAACTGAGAAACAAAGCCAATTCATTATGATGAGATATGCATGATCAGTGTGTTTTAGCAGAAACTGAAGATATAGTAATTACCTGCGTAACATTTTGGGTTTTTTGAGTTTATGTGAGATGGCAAACGCTATGACCAACAGTCTATTCAAGTCCAAGGTAATTGTCAGGCACTAAGACCCATTAGGCTGTAGACGTTTGAAGAAAAACATGTCTGAGCTAACGCTAACACGCCCAGGGCAGGACCTTCTAGGGAAACCCTGCGGGGACAGTGAGGATATCCGGGACAGACTCAAAGCAGCTTTAAAAACATTAAGGGATGCTCTCGGGGCTCTGAGGGGAGGGGGTGTTTCTTCAGGGTCATTGCAAACCCTCAATCCTTCACTAGGGTGGTGACACAGGCTCTGCTCCCAGGGAACTGTAAGGGTGAACAGGAAGTGGTCAGAAGAAATTAATCAAAGCCATATGACTCCACTTGAAGACTTCCTATTGCTCTCTCCGCCTACACTCATCTTTCTGCTCACCATAATCTCACCACCCTTCCTAAATCAGAGACACAGGAAATTGCCTTGAAACTAAAACAAACAAACAAAACGATGGGTGATCCAGTGATATGGAACGTTTTCATCATCAGCAGAGCTCCCCATGTCATCTCCGATACATAACTAAACCCACCCCGGGTCGTTTAGTAAAAAGAGTACTGGTTCTCCACCGCCCGGGCCCTACGAGTCCCGTCAGCGTCGTGGTAGTCCTCGGACGCTCCGCTAGAGGCCTCCAGCAGGCGCTCAGAGCTGTTGCTCCGGCTCTGTAACCCTCCTCCTACTCCTCCTCCAGTACCTGGGTCACTGCGGGACAGGGAGGGGAGGGTGGTGGGTGAGGAGGAGGTGCTCGAGGAGAGCGGGGCATCAGGAGGGGGCCCTGCAGGCGCTGTGATCCCAGAAAGGTGGAGAGGAGTCTGGGCAGAATCAGTCCGGCAGCCTGTCTCCCTGGGTGGGGTCAGGACGGGAGGGAGAGACACATCTGTAGAAGGTTGCCAGAGGGAGAACAAATACGTATAATTCAATTGAAATCAAATCAATTTGAAGAGACAGTACAGTGCCACAATAAGATATATTAAAACAGATTAATCCATTCGGCTGATAATTGTTGGTTTATACTGAAAATCTGCCATCTTAAGGCTCCTTCATAGAGCATGTAAACACAGGCAGTGTGGGCCTCCTTTATTATGCTTTCTCTTGGTGGGCAATAACACCAACCACACTGGTGCCAAAGACATGCCTGACCAGTGTATCAGTGAAGTCTTTTACGCCCTGAATCAAACCCTCACTCTATGTAAGTATGTGTAGGGTAGGGAGTGCATGAGTGTGTGGGTCCAGCGTTGGGGAAACAGAGGGCCTCTTTGTGACCAGCAGGGTGTGTTGGGGCCGGAGACTCGGCCTGCATGCAAAACTCCTGTGGTATAATCGCCCCCTCACTCTCCTGTACAGGAGGGCATTCATCCCATGCCAGCAGAGCAGAGGGCAGGAGCAGGGCTAGTAGGAGGAGGGGAGGGGGGGCTGGTTCAGTGAGTTTTAGCTCTGAATCTTCCAGCTAAAGGGACAATTCTCAGCTATTCATCAACACACATAACTTTTTGGAAGTGTCTTATCCTCCTCCATTATCCTTTTGATCTTGAGAAGTGTGTAGTATCTGAGACACATTTTTGAAACCACGAAAATGATTTCCAACATGATAATATTTCATAATTATAATAATAATAATAATAATAATAATAATAATAATTCAGATTGAGTAAATATCCTCATTAAGATGTTGGCTTGTATTAGTATTAGCATCAAAAAGTATTTGAAGTACTTATCCTGTACAATGGCCCATCTCAGAATAATTTTATATTTTGTTCAAACTGATTGGAACATAAATGGTTAATGACTAATCACTTTAATGTTGCAGCTGTTCACCAAGGGATAGGTCAAGTGTTATTGCTGACTCAGTAATGTCTGTCACGCAGCAATATCAAGCTTTACTTTGCAAACAATGGCTAACATTAGCCACCAGAAGCTGCCAGTCTTTCCACACCAATTGAGGCTGTAGCAACAAAACCCTTGAGTGTACTGAAATGAGTAAAAGTATGCCTCATCATCCAGAATATTTAAAAACACCTGTATTGTGTGTCCAGCGCCCTTCACTTATAGTGGTCTGAATGTACTGACCTTTCCAGCAAACCTGATATAAAATATACCACTATTTAAGCTTCTAATAGGAATATATGGAATAATTGGTCAAATCAACATGCACGATCTCTTCAGTTAATTGTAGTCAAAGCTTGTTTATGTGTTGTTTACCTGTTGATGAGCTTCGCTGCACTTGCACATAGGAGCGTAGTGTGATGTCAGCAGAGCCTCCGGACTCGAGGGGGATGGGGTGGGCGTGGAAATGTCTCAGCATGTCCGACACGGTGTGGAACCACAAGTGGTGGACATGGCACTGCCCGTTCTCATTCACCGACAAACGCAAATGCTGGAAGAGAGGAGGAAGACAGGACGTTAACAAGTGAGGGAAAGTATGGAAGAGGGAGAGATGGATGGTAAATAAAAGCGTAAAAAAAGACAGAGAAGTGCTGTGTGAGAAACAGATAGAAGTCAGGACATTATCTGAGGAGTCTCGCTGTGGGAACAGAGTGAATGCCAAGGCTGACACCAGAGGAAGAGGCAGCAGCTGACACTTCCTCAACACTACCGGCTGGCAGGATGTGATGTTCAGGGATAGTATTACATAAGAGAACACAAAACATTACTGCATCTTTTCCAGGGCCAGAACAACTCTGTCTGCTATTAGCTGCTGTGGTGCAACCCAACATGTCACAAGAATAGGCATTGAGTTAATTTAACTGCAGCAGGGAGGTGAGATGAATGTTATTTCATTATTTAAATAACATAAAAATCATCAATTACAATTTGGATAACTGATTTTTTGGTTTGTTTTGACAAAAAAAAGAAAAAGTGTTGGTTAGAATGTGAGATTCCTCCTTTTTAATTAATATAATTTAAAACAATTTGTTACTGTAGGTCAGACAAAAGAAGCAAAATGAAGAACGATATTTTCACTCAGGCAGCATAGCAAAGCCATTTCTTTTTGATTTTCATGTTTTCTGAACTACATTGAATATATATCCGTACAAAACTGTTCAACCTTATAAACTACATTTATATCCCCCTCTTTCTTCTGAAATATATTACATATTGCCATTTCTCTGCTGTATAGTTGTCTCACCTTGGCTTTGCCCTGAAAGTTGAAGGTGAGGACGTACTCCCCCGGCCTCGTCTCGCTCTGACGAATCACAAAGAGCCCGTGGCTCCTGGCCCCGCCTGCCAGCACCAGCTGAGCCGCGCGCACACGGGACAGAGTACCGTGGAACCATGGGTAACTCGACAGGCTGGCATCCCCGTCCGACTCTTTGGCTCCTTCACTGCCACCTGAGTCAGAACAAATCAACGTATTGTCTTTTTCTGTTTGTTTCTAAGGATTCTTATGCTTGGATTGAGTGTCTGTGTTACCTGCAGAAGAGTTGGAGCTCTGAGCCTCTGGGGACTGGAGGAAGCGCTCCAAAGGCATGTGGGACGGGTGCTGTGTGAAGGGGGGTTCCCTGCAACGGACCGAGGGGGCACTGTAATGCTCCGCTGCTGTAGGACACGGCCTCTCCGGAGCTCGATACACACCTAGGCAAATGTTTTAATTATATTTACAACAAATGTACGTGGATCAACAGATTTCAATGTTATGTTACATGTGCTGCAGAAAAGAGTATTTGCTCACCCTCAGAGAGCAGCTCACAGCTGCAGGAGGACACCATAGAGCAGTCTTTGGAGGCTTGACCATGAGGACAGGACGCCAGCTCGATGTCATCGCCGCTGTCACTGTACACAAGCAGGCAGGTCAGGAGAACCGCAAGAACATAAACACATGCACAGCACACACGTGTTCTAATACACGACTCCAACACTCATCCACATCCTACAAACACAAATAATCTTTTTGTTTACGTCCTGAACCAACTCAGGAAACTGAGCAGGAATGTTAGTGGTGCGAGCTTCCCCATGTTTGTGCTAAAGCAAGCAGTCAAAAAGTCCACTAATTTGATGATTAATGACTGTGTGTTTTCCCTCTCCCATCCACCCTTCATTCCTGTCTTCCCTCCATCTTCAGCCAACAGCAAATATTTATCTGGTGGTTTACCCGGGGTCTATGCAGTCCTGGATGTCAGCAACCCAGGAGTTTTTCTGCAGGGAGTCTATGGTTTCCAGGATGTACTCTCCCCCGTTTTCCACCTGTTGAGGCAGCCAAACACGATCACACACTGAGCTCTGTTCAAAGGACCACATCAGGGTACAGATCCAATGTTAACTCAGCCAGGGTACGGGTTAACACTTTTTCCAACAACATCTTTAGTGTCATATTCTGGAAGGTGCACTGGGTTTGCAGTTTTACCTTAAGAACGAAAGTGTTGTCCTTGTCAGGCATCTCCAGAGGCATGGTGGTCCTCACCTCCACGATGGCCGACAGAGGGATGCTGACTTTAGGCTTTGAGGACTGAAGTTAACATGCAGACACACAAAGGATAAAAGTTTACATTTAACCAAAATTAATGTTTTTTCTAATGGTTAATAACCAGAGGGAAGATCTATAGGGTTCGACAGTATGTTTAATTTTGAATCTGCATGTTCAAATCTGATGCTGCCTTACTGTATCTTTGACTGTTGCTTATTTAGTTATGACATTTTAAATGTAAACTTTAAACTTTTATAAAGTTAACATTTAAAGATGTTTAAAGGTTTCATATGCAAAATAGATTGAGAGCAACTGCTTTAGAGATCAGACAGTAAACAAGCACTGCCTGAGATTGTATATCACAGGAAATTGTTGTTGTTTATGTGGAAACAAATCTAAAAGAAAATGCATTACTCCCTGGGTGATACTGTCATTTCCATCAGCGTAGTTCCTTCAAAACCAAGATAAGTATTTAAGGACGGTCCAAAGTTAAATTAAAACCTTCATTACATCCTGTAGGAGGTAGCTGCGTCACTTGTAAAGGAGAAACTTTATATTTTTCTACAAAGCTTTTAATTAGGGGTACAGGTTAAAATAGTTTCACTGCAGCCTCTATGTTTAGTGTGAAACACACCCAACTTCTCCTGACTCTAAAACGATAATTAAAGGGCAACATGAAGTCTGAATCATCGGTACAACCTTAGCAGCAATTAACTGTTTCCTGAGATACAATTCTAACGAAAATAGGCAAACATTACAAATAGAAGGGAAGAGTTTACAGAAGATTTCCCAATCTGCAAAAACGACTCAACAACTCAGATTTAATGCAGTCTCTTATTTTTCGATGCGTTTCTCAGCAATTATTCCTGCTGAGTGACCGTAACAAACATAAGAGTTTACAAGTGGCTTAACACAGAAAACATCCTGGTCTCAGATTGCCCTCTGCAGAGAGTTGGACCCATGCCATAATCTCAACAGATCCAATGAGTGTTGAGGTGTGAGTGTGTGTGTGTGTGTGTGTGTGTGTGTGTGTGTGTGTGTGTGTGTGTGTGTGTGTGTGTGTGTGTGTGTGTGTGTGTGTGTGTGTGTGTGTGTGTGTGTGTGTGTGTCAGGAGAGGCAGAGCGAGAAGGAGGCTGACTGATGATCTGGCAGAGCTTTATCAGCTGATCTGTCTGGAGCAACACGGCTCTCCTCTTGATCTGCTGTGCAGCTGGCAGCCATCCACACCCACCATTCCTCAATTTGGATCAGATGTTAAAAATCACTTCCTGTTGACCATTTCCTGTACGTCTCTACTGCAGATAGCACAAACCCTTTTTCAGTGTGAAAGTCTGTTCAAATGTTGAACATGGTACAAACCAACTTAAGCGTCTAAGCGTTGAACATGTGCTCCACCATACAGCAGTAACAGCCTTACAGGAAATAAAGGCAGCAACTCAAATCAAATGAGAGCTAGGAGAGTTTTGTTGGATTTAATTTGGGCATATAAATGATTTGTTTCTGAATTGGTATAATGTTGGGACTTCAAACCATCTTTAGAGAAATTGTCAAAAATCAAACATTTCCCATTCATTCCAATAAAGCCAGGGTGGTCGTGGACATTTAATGTTTTTTTATAATCTGAAAAAAAGCGTTAGCCTACTAGCTCATGGCACGAGCACTTAGCATTCAGTAAAAACCAAGCGACCTTCATGATTTTTTATTTATTTTTTGTCTTTGACTAACTGAACTTCCAAAGTAATGGGTTTTTATTTAATTTGTGCTGTCGCAAAAACATTGCTTTTATGTAAGGCAAGTAAAAATGTGTCCTTTTTGATGTGCTGCAGCTACTTTTACCCTTTAGTTATTGCATGTTGCTCTGGCTGGTGTGTCGCAGAGAGTGGGTCGTCCCTGTTGCTGTGTCATAATGCAGACAGTTAGCGTGATGCAGTGTGCTCCACAGATTGATGGCACTGACAGGGACGGAGCCACAGCCAGTCGGCCAGCAGCGAGATTTTATGAGCAGGTTTATCTTTCCGACACTGTTGACTCAGCACTGTTATGATTTGTAAGACCTGAATAAGAGGGCAGTGATAAAACAAGTCAGAGAGTCTGCAGGGCAGGCCTGTGGAGAAGTGTGTGTTTAATTAATGTGTCACTTCAGCTGTAACCGCTCTGAAGTTTCTTCTAATCTCAGTTCATAATCATTGTCCCATGTGTGAATGTTAATAGAACATAACAGACGAAACTTCTGAAGCACAATTATTAAGTTTCATTTGACATGTTCCCCTTGTGGCTTCCTCTCTGAGTTTGGCAGAGCTTTTTAATGGCTCACAAAAACTATATTGGTCCCTATTTTCAGTTTGTCACTGTAGACTGTTAGGCTAAGATGAGGAACCAATCAATATTTATTTTTTGCACATGAAGGGGGAATCTTTTCTATCCGCTTCCCTTTCACAGAAATCAATGTAAGAGCTTCCTCTCGCTCTCTCTCTCTTTCTCTCTGTCTATGGCAGTCTCTGGTCACTCCCCCATCTCCTTCACCCCCCTTCACCACGGCTTCCTCCCACCTGTCCTTACCCCTCTCCCCCTCTCAGCAGGCTTATCGCCACATTCCCACCAGCTATGATCAAAGGACAGTGGCAGATTTACACACACCCAGCTGCACAGCCTCATGGCCTTCTTAAGGTCAGGCGCAATGATCTGGAAATCTCATAAAGAAAAAAGCGAAGTGTGCATGAATCCACGTGACAGTTTCTGAGAGCGGTTCCACTGCACTTGGGGTCAGAGGGGTTGGATCAAGCTGGATCTGTTTCTGGGATTCAAGGAGGGCTACAACTCATAATTATTTTCATGAAATATTATTTTTTTCAATCACTATTTAGGGTTTACTATACATGTTTCTTTGAACAAATCCCCTAATAAACATCTAATCTAATGATCCATGTTTTTCTACCTAATTGTTTTTCATGTCTGCATGTGTTTGTGTACCTTGGGTGGCACGTAGAACTCCAGCAGGAACTTCTCGCCTCCTTCCTCCCTCCTCGTCTTCCTCAGCAGGAGGCGGCACTTCTGCCACTGTGCAGCCCCCATACAGTTTGTGTCGTCGGCCACCATGAACCTCAGCGCTCCCTCCCTCTGGATCTCCAGCATCTCAGCCTTGTGGCCCTGGGAGCCTCTGGGAAGACGCAGCTTATTGGACCACTTCTCTCCCCCCGCAGCCTCCACTCCCCCTCCTGCTGCTCCCATTACTCCCCCGTTGGCCCTTCTAAGTACAGAGGGTCCTTCAGGTTCAGGGGAGGCCCGTCTGTGCCACATCTCCTTCACCCCATCCACCACACATAGGCTCATGTTCCTCAGGGAGAATCCTTTCTTGAAGCGAGCTTTTGGGTGACTGACCGACACATCCTCTGAGCTGCGGGACTGTCCCAGAGCGGACACCTTGTGGGTGGACTGGGGGCCTCGGGAGGCGGTGGCACTGCCTGCCCCGTCTATCCCTCCCCCTCCGCTGTCCATGCTGTCCAGGGATTCACTTGAAGCCCCCACGTCCTTGCGTCTCTGATAAATGTCGTGACCATAGGACAGCGGACAGCCCTGGATTCCCAGGAAAGGAACAATGCTGTACTTGGGCACTGTGTTGGAGCCGTCCTCTCCCGGCGAGGACGCCTGGTTCTCCCGGGCCTGGGTCAGTGCGGCAGAGAAGCACTCTAGGAAGTGGTGGGCAAAGTGCTGTGAGAAGCTAGCATCGGCACCAGGCGAGTCGTAGATCGGGTTTTCCAACAGGAAGCGTTGGAACTTGTCGGCGAAGTCTGCAGCGGAGGCTCTGGCATGGAGCTCACAGAACTCTCGCCAGTCTGGCAGCGGGCACGAGGAGGAGAGCTCCGGGCTACCGGGCACCACCGCTCCGTTCATCGCTGGGCCATGCCAACCCACGAGGAGAGGCTACAGAGGAGGAAGAAGAGCAGAGTCAGTGTGGATTCAAGTGAAATACTTCAGCGTGTATGTGTGCAACTCCTGGCTCTGGATCAGACGTACCACACATGTGGATTGGCCTGTATGTGTGATGCTGCAAAGAATAACATATGTGTGAATGAAGCAGACTGCTGAACCAGCATGTTTGTCTTTATGATCATTATAAACATTTCTGATGACCTCATTGTCCTCAGTAGCACTACTTGTCAGCATCCAGAGTCCAGAGTCTCGGACAGTTGAAGATGTGATTGAAGGTTTGAAATCCGCTTTTCAACAGATTCAATGTGACAACAGAAGTGAACAGGAATCCAGAAAGCTAGAGTCTCCATTACTTACCAATTGATAGTTTCTGACAAGCACTGGGATTGTCTGAATTTAGTTCTGTCGGAGCAGGTTGACAGCAACTCAGATTCAACACGGACTGACCATACAGCGCATTTTGCTTTTTCATCTCACTCTCTGTTGTTTTGAGTTTTTGTTTTTGAAGTTACTATCGCCAAATCCTCCTTACATTCCTCTGCTCCCCACCATGCGTGTGCGCGTGTGTGTGTGTGTGTGTGTGTGTGTGTGTTCGTATGACTCAGCCTTCTCTGGCAGATCAGCGCCACACCACATCACAGCACTGATAACACTCTTCTCTCTCTCTGTGCTCACCACCATTGTGTCAGTAGCAACATCCAAGGCCAGTTTTCACCCCTCTCATCTCTCTCTCTTTCTGTGCTTCAACACATCAGTGACTAATACAGCATCAGTGGATGTCATTGTCATTGTCATCAACCACATGTTGCTTTGATTATTGTTGTCTGTAAATCGCGGAGATCAAATATATTGTCTGAGTGGGCAGGCAGAGTGACATACGCACGGTTGATAGCAAACACTCCTCAAGCTGTGGGAGCTTATTCTCAGAGCTGCTCGTGCTGCTCTTGGCAATTCGCTCACAATATGCGCTCAAATGTTTGCTTCCTGCACTCTGAAACCAAATCATGCATACATTTGCACTGCAGTGGTTCCTGGAACTACTCCTGCACGCAGCGTTATTGTGATTTTCAAAAAGCATCCATGTGGGCCCTAGTTTCAGGATTAGTGAAAAAAACTCTGTACTGGAATTAAGTACACTTTTCTTTAAATCTATTGCAGATCTGAAACAACATCATGCCAGATCAGAGAGAGGATAATGATTAGGGGAAGTACACAGTGACAGGAGTGTCAGCTCTTCACAAGAGAAACTCCTGGATGTGGCCACCTGGTGTCAGAATTTCAGAGGAACGATGGATAGAGACACTCGAAAGTAAAGAAAAGGATAGGGTAGGACTAAAGAATAATAAGCCAACAAAGTAAATGTCTCCCTTATCTGTGTGTATGTCCCAGGGGAATCTAAATGTGCCAAATTGTGGTCATTTAGCTAAATTTAAGTTCAACTAGTGTGCAGAAGTGGGTGATCGGGGTCTCAAATGAAGCTGTTTGGATTGGCACTGTGTTTTGGTTTGTTTTCTCCCATGTTCTGCCAACAAGGCGGAATCACAGCCAATGGTCCCGGGTCAGGAGCGCTTTCATAACATCTTGTGACAGAAATAACTCAAGAAGAAAGAAAGATACGACATTTATAAAATGTAGTTGTTCAATTTAATTAATGGCGAATAAATAATTTACCATTGAAAATAATTAACATTTGGGTTCCCAAAAGTAGAAAAGCTGCAGAGGATGTCTGGACCATAATCCATATACAGATAACTTATTAACATCTGTTCCATTTAGGAAAGTGAATTATCAGTAACTAATGTATAACCAAAAAGAAAAGAGAAACATCAGCTAATAGGATATTTTACAACCTGGCTACCCACAATGTGTTATTAAAAGATTCATTCTAAAAAGAGTTATGAGAAAGTGGTACAGAGATACAATTAAAATCTCTTTCCAGCTTCATTTCATTCATGAATCAATGACTCCAGACAACCACATCTTTGTTCCACCAAGCCACACCAAAGCTAAAGTGTGAAGTGTGTGTGTGTGTGTGTGTGTGTGTGTGTGTGTGTGTGTGTGTGTGTGTGTGTGTGTGTGTGTGTGTGTGTGTGTGTGTGTGTGTGTGTGTGTGTGTGTGTGTGTGTGTGTGTGTGTGTGTGTGTGTGTGTGTGTGTGTGTGTGTTGCCTGGGAGGAAGCTAATACCCATTCAGCTATTTAAAACCTGCACTGGGCCCTCTTTCCACTCATTCAGCAGAAAAACAACAACCCAGTGAGGTGTGTTTATCAAAACTACTGTCCTTCCGCAAAGATGAGGATGTGTCTCTCTTTAGAAAACTGAACTAACAGTACCACACACACACACACACACACACACACACACACACACACACACACACACACACACACACACACACACACACACACACACACACACACACACACACACACACACACACACACACACACACACACACACAGAGTCAGCATGAAACCTAAGCCCTGAGTCGCTGGAGGAAGTGGACAGCATTAAGGTTTTCTGAGGCTCAGCACGCTGAAGCAGAATACATACTGCAGAGGGAATAAACTAAATAATGTCTGGGACTATAGAAAGGGCAGTGCTGGAAAGTAACTAATTCCATATTTCAAAAACAGATATTGAAATACATATCAGCAACAGCAGCAAAATGCAACAATCTAACAGTTCAAAAAAATTAAGAAATGATTTATTTGTGTGTGTGTGTGTGTGTGTGTGTGTGTGTGTGTGTGTGTGTGTGTGTGTGTGTGTGTGTGTGTGTGTGTGTGTGTGTGTGTGTGTGTGTGTGTGTGTCACAGGGGACATTTTACCACAGAACAAGATACTCTAGGATACTTTGTTTTGTTTAAAACCTGCAGAAACAAAAAGTGCAGATGTGACATCACTATATACGTTTAGTCATTATAAGTCAACTCACAAGTTGAGTCCCGAAAGTATCAAGTATTTTCACTTTAAAAGGTTCAAGTCCATCTCAACTCACAAGTCATTGGTGTGTAAGTCATTATTATTATTTTGTTAGTAGGATTGTGATGGATTTGACATAAGTGAAGGACATGAGTATTTTCCCCCACTGGAGGGGGGCATGTTTTTGCTCCATAGGCCAGCTGCTAAAACAATCAGTGAGAGTGTAGAGGTGGAGGAGACAAGGGGAGAGTAAAGAAAGGGACGAGGGGGAGCAGAGGCACCATGTCCAGTCTACCATCCCCACGACTCCCCTCTGTATTTAAGACCATTGATGGACTTAAAATACCATAAAACAAGATTGAAGATGTCGAGGGGAACGTTAAAATATTCACCTCCATCCTTCAGGCTCCTGTTTCTCTTCCCTATCTGTTGTAAAAATCTACCACTCCTGTGCCCCCTCCTCTTCCTCCTCCTCCTGCTGCTTCTTTACCCCGGGGAGCAGGGCTGATATCTCTGTCAGATGTTTGGGAGTTCTGTCTGTAACAGTAAACTGACCGGGAAGGAGACGGAAGAAACATTACTGTGTGGGGGGAAGCTATCAAATGCAGCCTGCAAAACACATCGGGCGAGATACGTTCACTTTATGTAGTTTGAGGAGCCTCACAGGACTGAACTATTCTCCTGATTAATACTGCGGTGTTGTGGCTACTGAGGAAGTGATGCTGTAGCCAAGCATAGCGGATGTACACAGATTTGTATTTTTAAAGCTGTGTGTACACATAGCTCCCTGCACTTAGGGGAATAAACACTACATATATGTAGTTTAACAGAGTTATATCTAAACACATGCTGCAGTTTCATGCCAGCAGTACACCTTCGGTGATTGGCTGCTGAGGATGATTGGTGATGTTGTGCTCCGGCCCCGGAGAGGTTAGGCCCTGCGATGTTTTCTAAGATTAGCCCGCTCCAAAGCACAGCATACAGCTAGCAGCACTCAGTACAGTACAGATCTGTGCGAACATCTCCAATGCTATGTGAACCCAGTAACAACATGTTCTTCTTATATAAGATATACACATAAGATATGTCATGTTAGACACACGAAGGTTAAACAGGAAAACAAAACTATGGTATTTATGTTGGTTTTCTTTGTATAGGCATGCATATCCAAGTATTAATGTCAAGAATGTATAATAAATAGAGCTGATGAATTGGTTAATTAATAAATGATTTTGATAACCTTTTGATATAATCATTCAAACATCTCACAGGAATTGCTGGCATATTCCCTTTTATGGGAAACTCTTTAAAGAACATAATAGTTCATTGAAGATTGAGGCAAAACGTTTGGTAATTGGGCTTTACATTATCATTTATTTCATTATCAATTGGTCTGATGATTATTTTTTCAATGAAAAGGTTGTTTACTCTATGAAATATGAAAAAAAGTCACTACTCACTACTTCAGATACTAAAAGCAAAATGGAGACTCAATTTGCAGCTCTAACATATACTGTAGGTGATAGAGATGCAGACATCAGAAGAAACATGCAAAAGTAGAACCGAAAGAAAAACAGACTGACACAGGAGGCAAAGTCACCCTGACAGAAAAGCGCCTCTACTCAAGATGTCAAAAGACAGGATATTACAGTAGACATCCAGGTGTGTGTGTGGGTGTGTGTGAAAAAGCAAGAGAGACAGAAGAGAGAGAGAGAGAGAGAGAGAGAGAGAGAGAGAGAGAGAGAGAGAGAGAGAGAGAGAGAGAGAGAGAGAGAGATAGAAGGAAACTTTGTGGAGCACCTTGGGAAGTGGAAGGAAAAGCAGAGATGTAGCCACATGATTTTTTTAAAACCAGAAGGGAGAACATTTCAGATAGAGAGGGTGGATGATTGATGAGGATCAGACGTTCTAGCAGGAGGAAGAGCAGACATAGGGGTCAGCACTGATAGAGCCCCTCTTTTTGATCCGTCCACTTCAGAGCAGCCGGTCACTGACCTTCGACCTAACCCCTGATAACCTCGCCCCTCCCTGATTCAACCTTAATGTTGTCTGGAGAGTTTGCATCAGTCCTGATGCGACACAGGACCACCAGAGGGGAGACTGTCTCCATCATGAAATTACACTGGTCCAGACATTGATACGTGTGGCTGCTTAAAGCTATCTGTGTGTGTGACAGAGTGGACCAGTGATAATAAACCAGACTTGATGAGAGGATGGAGATTCCTAAGCCTGAACACAAACAAACTGACCCAATCTCTCCAGTAGGCTGATGGGTTTTCGACCACTTCCCAATATATGTAGCATGGCCTCATCACGCAGATATTAAATACATTAATCAGCATGTCCTCTACCAGCAGGCCCTCTCTGCTGGTTTCTCTGGAGAGCGGCGACAATGTAAATATTGAGTGAGCTCAGGCCTCCATATGGCGGCCAGTGATAAAGGACGCAGCGCGTGGGAGATGCACATTCCGCCACCGACTTCCATTTCCTGTCTCTCACCCACCGGCTCTAACTAATTTCACAGATGACCACAGGCCTCTCGCAGAGGGAAAACTGTGCACAACCTGTGTGAGCATCAACTGTCATTTACTGAAACAGATGTTTTTTTTATTTGGGGACGCAGAGTGGAGCTGGTATAAAAAATATCCGAAAATAATCTAGATTGGTTCTCGCAACATGGCTTTTTGCACTTTCTGACATCGTAAGTCTTTGTGCTTGGTGTTGGATTTTGTATTCTAATCATAGCCAATAACAAACTGTGTATTAATACAAATTAGTTATTTGTTGTTTGGTCTGTATAATGTCGCATATTTATGAAAAATAGAGCGAGAGAGAATAAAAAGAGGTGACGTCTTCAAAAGCTATGGGTCCAGTTTAATCTCAAAACATATTAGATATATGTATTGTTAGGGAAAGCCAGCAAAGCCTCACACTAGGCTTGATAAATTACTTCACATTTTTTAATAAATCAATAATTATAGGTGTTTATATTTATATTCTGCCTTCTGTTATGCCATCAAAATAAAATATATGATGTAAAGGCCTACTACATACATTGTTATGTTATATTGGATTGCATTATAGGATCCCCTTGTTATTCTGTCCACGCTATGAAGGATATAAAACCTGGGGTCAACTCGGAATAACTATCAAAATTGTAAAAATGTAATCAAATGCTTTAGAGGGATGTTGCTTACATCAAAGCTTATATTCAAATATAAGACAATATAGGGTGAAAATGAGGGAAGTCAATACTAACCTGTACCAATAAGTCATACAATCATACTGAGGAGTAAAGTCAGAATATCACAGTGATTTTAAGGCCTAGAATACATTTTGTGGTCATTTATCAAATTGCATTTTATTGTAAGGTGTTTTTATTATTCTGTCTAAAAAACTCAACATGATGTGAATGATATATTTTATATTTAGATCTTTGAGGGACGCTGCTTAAATATCACAACAAAACAACGTACAGCTATAGCAAATTATCATAATGTCTATAACAAAGGCAAATAATGAGACATTTATTACAACATAGTGCCAGAGACGCAGTACTGGAGTATCATATAATAGTGATGTTCTCTATAACAGCAGGCCAGTACTCTGTTATAATCATTCTTATTAGGCTTCATATTAACTGACTGTTTCATTTAGACTATAAAAAGATACATGAGAGAAAGTCAATAGCAGGCCAGAAACAGGCCTACTGCAGGCCCAGAGAGCCTATTTAAAGCCAACAGTGGATCGTTGTGCTGCGTAATGGACTTCATGAATGGGAACGGGCTGCTGCTGAATGGCTCACAGCTCCAGGTCCAGAAAGCAGGAGATGAATGGGAGTCACGAGTCGGTACTCTGACTCTGGATCATCTCGAGCGGACCTCACATCACATCAGGCCCATGAGTGTCCTGTGCATGACAAGACTTTAACCCCTAAAGGCTATTAGACTAAATGGATTATCGGAAAAGCCCCTTTATACACCGCGACCCTCGTAAAGCCACCCACAGCCTCTGTTTTCAACACCTTAAAAACAAGCCGATCGCACTTGTTCTCTGCCATCATAAATGCGCTTCCTAACAGAGGATTCATCACGGACAGTGCGTGGTTATGAATCGGGTTTAACACCAAAACACAGCAGCCTCCATCTCTTCCTCAGCACCTGGAGGTTTGTTGTTGTTGTTGTTGTTGTTGTTATCACGATGCTCGGCTCTTTCTCCGGACAACACCTGCGCATGAAAAGGCTCTGCAAGATGTCTCATCGCTAATGTCAGGATGGTCCTGACGCGATAAATAAGACATAAAACGCAGCAGCGGCTCTCACCTCAATGCAGGACTGGTGTCATGACGCTGCTGTCTCTGAGGGGGTCCTGGCTTTAGATGTGAAGATTTGTTTTTGTTCTAGTCAGAATCAATCATGGTTTGTATTCCCTCTCTTCATCTGGTGTCCTCCTCGGTTTATTTGCGCTCACAGCCGGTCAGCTCCATCTCTCAGCTCGACGCACTGTGCTGCTGTACCTTTGGCTCTGCTGTCCACACACACACTCACAAGTCACAAGCAATCACACGAAATGCTACTTCCGGTAAATACTTTCACAATAAAGCTCCAAGTTGTTGGTCAAATACGAAACCCAATGATGTTTTTTGCATTTGGAGGACAAAGAGATGCTGATTTCTTTTAGTCCAGGGGCGAGAGTTCCATACAATAAATGTAAATAATGTTAGGTCATTTTGTCGCAGGCAACTGACGTAGTAATTCACTGGATTGACACACTTAAATAACAAAGGTATAAAAATACAATACAAATATGTTTCATATATGATTTGGAACATTTCGAAATGAGGAGCTGTACATCCTTTGGCCGCTCCGCCTTTCAATTTGCAGCAGCAGATAGCTGGAATGTCATTCAAAAAACGTTGAAAATGAAAACCTTTGTCTCCCCCCGCACCTTCAATGTCACTATTATTGACACCCTGGTACACACATAGCTGCTTTGCCTGATGCTGATTTTAATGACTGATTGAACCACAGCAATATTGTTTTAGAGTTTTTATATGTTTAACTGCTATGCCTGTCATCTTTGCTCTATGTGTTTGTGTTGTCTCCTGGGTTCTGTAGTGCCCGGAGTCTGTCTTTCTATTTTTTTTCCCTCCCAAACCCCATCCCCTCAGGAAGCCTTTGCCTCCTGTCAGGTCATCATTGTAAATAAGAATTTGTTCTTAATTGATTTTCCTGGATAAATAAAGGTTCTTCTTCTACTACTACTACTACTACTACTACTACTACTACTACTACTACTACTACTACTACTACTACTACTACTACTACTACTACTCCTACTACTACGGTGTTGGACATTAAAAAGATATCAAGTAGCCTACTCATTTATGACATTTTACATTATTGCATGTTTAGCTAACTGGCTGTGCATTGAATCAAATCATCTTTTTTCCCATAATTACTTTCTATATTATACATAATCATGCCAGTAGAGAGAGATGGTTAACACAACACATTTGAAATGTGGGAATAATTATGGGTTTTGAAACAGAACTAGTTGTTGATATTCCAGCACTTGCATGATGAATCTGTGCTGTGTAAGAGTATGTTGCTTGTGAAAACTGTTTGTATATGATCATTTCCTGTTTACTATCATTTGAGGGACTACAATACACAGATAATGAAAAAGCTCATGCTCACATGGATAGGCCTTTAGTGAACTGAGAATACATTGTGGTCCAGACAAATAATGCATTGAGTTTTGATTCCTGAAAAGCTGACATTTTAAAGAAACGCTACTAGAAAGCCATTCAGACAGCCACCAGGAGAAAAAAAAAGTGGCACCATTCTCAGGTAATATGGTGTCACAGTGTGTTTCCTAATAGATGAGTCACATTTGGTAAAACTCTGTCGGCTTTTATTTTGAAGGCCCAATCAAGAACAGTCATTTTCTGTCTGTCTCTTGACCGCAGCTTCCTTCACTGGGGGGCGTGAGTGCGTGTGTGCGTGTGTGTGTGTGTGTGTGCTGTGTGTGCATGTGTGATCTATTAACAGCCAGCGATGACTGACCTTAAAGGACCACGCCCTTTTTATTGTTGTCTTAACTGAGAAAAAAGGAAGTCGTGAGTGTTTTGAAAAGGCACTGTGTATATGTGTATATATTACACATATACACATATACCCATATAGACTAACAGTATTGACCGTATGGATAAAGCCTTCTTGTATGTTTTCTCACTTGTTATTTTTAAACTGACTCTTTGATGAATTACACTTATGTAGGCTACATGTTGTTGTTTGGCTGAATGAGACCTTTCCTCGTGGCTAACTGAGTGGTAAACATCACTTAGCCACGCACACCTTCACTACTAAACCACTTTGAGAGGATTGAATCTGTGGCTTCCTTGCGGGGTTAAAGGCTAAAGAATAACGTGGTCAGACCAGAGACAGGTGGCAGTGGGAGAGGAGAAGCAGCTCTAAAAACTCAGATTATAATCTGCATCTGCTTCTCAGTCAGAGCTGTCTGACTCTGATCTTGTTTGGCCAATTTATTTTCTCAGCTGTTAAGCAGCTCTAACCGATCCTCGTAATGATTAGCAGTAGTAAAGCATTTGATTGAAATGTTGCCAGCTTTATATCTCAAAGTATCCCAATAGGAAACAGCTCAGGGATTCCCAACTCAAAACAACAGACTCTTTACAGATGATCTTCTGTGAAAAGGTCCACGGAAAATAAAACCACTTCCTGTTAATAACTTGTATTCCTGTTAATCCCTTATGACATTGTTAAAAACTAATATAGTGGTTTACATTGGGAACCACTGTCTATAGTGTCTTTATTGGACTGTCTTTCTTTTTTACTACCTCTACAGTGTATTAAATATATATAATTCTGGTTATAGTGTTTATACACATCATTACTGTTCATACTACATTAGCGTTTTCATATCTGTTATATGTATAATATTATACTTATACATTAGACTGCTTATTTTGCACAGCTGATAGATGCTAACGGCATGTTGTTGTCCCAGTATTTGTACCCTGTGCAATGACAACAAAGTTCAATTGAATCTCATTCACATCTAAAATAATAAAATCTATTCAGTGAGATCAAGCGAGGATGAGCCACCAAAGTTGTTTTATTAACTGTGATGGTGACGACAGAAACCTTTGACCTCATTACGATCAATTCAAACCCAGAGTGGAGCTGCTGAATGAAACAAAAAGAGACCTGGGCCGGGCGAGGACTCTCTCTGTGTGTCTCTCCAGAGACCCTCGCTTCTTATTGATCCTCACACACTTCCTGCCGGAAGGATGAATCAACGGGAGCCTCGGGGGGGGGCAGGGGCTGCTTCAACCTCGTGGCCATTTTCAGACTCGTCACTGTCTCTCCCACATCACCTCTGCTTTTGTGTTTCTTCATCACGTCTGAATCCCTCCGATCCACCATCAACTGATCACCTTGCTTCTTAATTCCTCCCACCCCCAAAGGTCACTGTTTTCAGAGACTTGTTTCCCTTCATGAAGACACACAGTACAGTACGATGGCAGAGCAGGAACTCTAAACGTAACACTGCACACAAACAGCTCGGCCTCCTCGGTGGGCGTCATTGATCAGGAGTTCAAATATAGACACGCTGAAAGACAAGTGAGAAAAAAAGAGATGCTTTTGAGCTGGTTTCCTGTGAAAGCATCTAAAGTGGTTGGGATGGAGATTGGCCTCCTGAGGCTCTTTGAAGATCAATGTGTCAGCAGGCTTTTATAAGAAACTGCCCCTCACTGTCTCCTGATCAGAAAAACACACTTTGAGCGATACAGAAAATGTGGCTTGCCTCTGCAGATGCCATTGTGTTTAAAAAGGGAGATCATTCTAAACCACGGCTGCACCCTTATAGAAATGTGTGAATGAACAGTGCGCACAAATGAATGCACTTTTTTTAATTCTGTCACCTGAACACAGGGAAATATCTGCCAGTTTATGCAGGCCTTAGCTAATCTGAACTAAACATTGAATACTGCTTTGAACCGGTATTCTGCATCTTGTGACTGTAACACTCTAAGCATGCCAAGGACACTATTCAGGGAACTATTTGTACCATATGCTCTGTATGTGATGACTACTTCCATTCTTGCAAGGATAATAAATACATGTATCCTGATATTGAAGATCAAGCCGGTGACGAGTGATATTTTTCTAACATTCCTGATAGGAGGAAGTTTACATGACAAATGAGGGATGCCTACTTCCTCACAACCACAAACCAACCTTTATATTCAACCGCTACATCATGACGGTGAGGATGAGCATGGACCAATATCAGCACCTATGTTAAAATAATTCGACGTGTTGTCTAGGATACATTGTGAGACAATGAAATATGATCAAAGGGGAATCATATTGTCCACTCCAAGTAGGGAATGAGTCCTTACCCCAAGTGAAAGAGTTCAAGTATCTCTGGGTCTTGTTCTCGAGTGAGGGAACAATGGAGCGTGAGATGGGCCGGAGAATCGGAGCAGCGGGAGCGGTACTGCAGTCGCTTTACCGCACCGTTGTGACGAAAAGGGAGCTGAGCCAGAAGGCAAAGCTCTCTATCTACCGGGCCATTTTCGTTCCTACCCTCACCTATGGTCATGAAGGGTGGGTCATGACCGAAAGAACGAGATCGCGGATACAAGCGGCCGAGATGGGTTTTCTCCGCAGGGTGGCTGGTGTCTCCCTTAGGGATAAGGTGAGAAGTTCGGTCATCCGGGAGGGACTCGGAATTTAGCCGCTCCTCCTTCGCGTCGAAAGGAGCCAGTTGAGGTGGTTCGGGCACCTAGTTAGGATGCCACCTGGGCGCCTCCCTAGGGATGTGTTCCAGGCACGTCCAGCTGGGAAGAGACCAAGGGGTAGACCTAGGACCAGGTGGAGGGATTATATCTCTTCGCTGGCCTGGGAGCGCCTTGGGATCCCCCAGTCAGAGCTGGTTGATGTCGCCAGGGAAAAGAAAGTTTGGGGCTCTCTGCTGGAACTGCTACCCCCGCGACCCGACCACGGATAAGCGGGAGAAGATGGATGGATGGATGGATTTTCTAACACTGTAATAATGATACACTAATGAAAACACGAACATGCAGCTAAATCCTACACAGACCGCAACCAGTGAACCAGGAGCTATTAGGGCCCTACTGTTAGCCTGCCATGATAAATATGTGACTTTGATAATATTTGTCGACCTCTATATTGCCTGTTGTCTTTGCTTACACAAATATGACCAACACTTAAAGGTGGGGTATGTAATTCACTTCAGAAACACTTTTTGTTATATTCCATGGAATGCTCTTAACATCCCGATAGCAATGAATACATTAAATGCTTTGACAATAAATCCATAAAAAAATTCATCTGTGGAAGCCGTAGTACTGTAAAAAGCACGACCAATCATTTTAGCCGGCCCGGCTAAAATAACTGGATGGCCTACCTGCCTGTCAGCCTTCCATCTGTGCACAAACTTATCTCGTGCCCTCATTGGTCATGTGCGCGTTCGTGTGT